CCCTGGCAACATTAAATGGCCTGGGCACCTGGGACCCCCACCCACACCCTGCCCGTGGACCCAGGAGCCCATTTAAGCTCAGCCTGGGGTTACCAGCCCCTGCCTGAGCTGTGCTGCAGGGATGCTGCTCCCCAGCCATACCCATTGACCCCAAACTTACTCCCGCCTTGCCTTGGACCTGCTTCATCCTCAGCACCTTGCCTGATGCTCTGAGCTCCCCGTTGACACCAGTTGCCCCCTCATCTCCCCTTGCTCTCTTGCCGAGGGGTAGGAAGGCTCCTGCCCACTTCTGGGTATCTATCCCAGCTCCCCATCCCTCTTTCCTTCTCTTGGCAGAGCAGGAAGTTTCCTTCAGGTGTCCAGCCAACACCACTCCATCCTCGGGATATCAGCCCCGGAGAAGGTTGGGTGGAGCTCACCGCTCCATCCATGAGCATCGGGAGGCTGCCCCGGCTGCAGAGCGACTGGCAGCTGTCCTGTGGTACGGAGGCCTCCAGCAAGCTGTGAAATTACAGGCTGGTGAGTGCCAGGCGTAAATGAGGATTAATTAGCGTGCCATGGCCATGAGCACCCGTTTCAGGCCCATGTCTGGCTGGGCTTGGCTTATACATCCGCCTCCCGTGGCTACTGGGCGGGCTTCTCTGGCAGAGCCCGGAGAGGAGGATGAGCAGGGGAGCTGCTCTGGTTGGGATTTTAGTGCCGGTTGCACTGGGGTGAATTTGTAACCCAGCACTGAGTCACCGAGTGCCCCGATCCATGGTTTTGGGGGTGCCCTTGAACCTGCCTTTCTTTTCTGCTGAGGATGCCCTGGGCTGGGGGTGAGGAGGGGAAGGGATGCAGGATGCTGCAGGATCCTGCGATACCGCCCCGGGGAGGGAGGGCTGGGTTTGTGCTCCCGATGGGCACAGTTTCGGGGTGCTGTGAGCAGCGTGGGTACACTCTGCTTAGTGCAGGGCCCCTTGCCTCCTCCCCACGCGGCCTTTCCTTGCGAGGAGATAACCACCCCCAGCGAGTTATCTGGCTCCGAGGCCAGAGATAAGCAGAGGTGGGGAGGATGCGACACCTGGCTCGCTGCACCGTGCAGCAAAATTAAGCTGGGAACGTGCGGCCGAACTGCACCAGCCCACGGGACCATAGTTTTTGGGGGGATGCTCCTTTTCCCCTGTGGAGCAGAGCACCCTGGGCGAAGATGAGGAGGGAAAAGACTTCATGGTCCCCTCACAGGGCACCAGACAGATTTAACTCCCGAAAGCTGAAAAGCGAGGATGAAGGAGCACTCCTCTTGCAGCTGTAAAGACGCAGCATCGTACAAAGCACTGGTACATCCCTTGTAGTCATTCAGCTGTGGAACAGCGAGGAACAAATAAGACAAGATGCTGTACATTAGCAGAAGCAGGAGGCATGGCCTCTCCCTTCAAAAACAAAGCATTTGTCTTCCAGCCGCAGCGAGCAACCAGCCCCAAGCAGTGCGGGAGCCGGGCAGCTAAAATCCAGGGATGCTTTTACCAACTGCTGAGCTACAAGGGGACTGGCTGTGGCCTGGTCTGAGCCAGGGCTGTGCGAAATAAAGCCCATCTCTGGGTGGGGGGAAGGGTGCTGCAGTCCCCTGAGAGCAGATCGTAATAGATTTGAGCAAATAATCTGCGCCTGTGTATGGGGGCAGCTTCGGTTTTGGCTTCCCAGGGGTGGGTGGGATGAGCACAGGGACCCGTGGGTGCAGTTTTGGGCTCCCATCCCCTACAGAACTGGTCTTCCCAAAGCCGGACCCTGAGCCAGAGCTCTTCTTTAGGCCAGAAAATATCCTGTTATCCACTTTGACGACTGCCTTTCATGTCAGTGAGCTCAGAAGTGAAGTCTCCAGGCAGTTGGGGGGGGCTATTTTCAGCCCTTGCTGAAGCAAGATGTCTTCTTCTGGGGGGAAACTTTCCAGCTGGGTTTCATGAGCTGGAGGGACTGGGTGAACTTGGAGGAGTTTCTTCAAAACACAAACCCCAGCAGAGCCTCTTGTAATTCAGGTCAACTGAGATAAGAGCTGTGGGGAGGGTCAGTGCTGAAGGATTTGACCAGGGAGCCGAAATTCTGCGTTAAACCCCATCAAAGCCTGGCTCCATCTAGAGCAGCCACCGAGCATCCTTCCCGGCCAAAAATCAGCAGGATGCATGGCAGAGGTACCCGTCATTCTGGGTCGCTGGCCAGTCTGTATTCTTGTTTTATTTGCTGATAGTTTCTTAATTGCATCTTGGAGGAAACACGAGCCCTTTGCCCATTCCTTTACTATCTCTGGCAACTCTCTGTTTGCTGTTTTGGGTGTTCCCAAGCAGGTTTTGGGGGCTGGGAAGGAGTTGGGGGTGGAGGACGGGGACATTGCTGGGATGCTGTGGGGAAAAGGCTCGTTAATTTATTAATATATGATGCCAAGAAAAAGACAAGGTGTTTTCCCAGTCCATCTCTGGCTGCATCCCCCATTGCCCTCCCCATGGCCAAGGGCTAACCCTGACGAGCTGGAGCTTGTCCCTGCAAGAGCAAAGTCCATTAATTCAACATCATTAATAACTAGGTTGGTGGTGCAATTAATAACAGCATTAATAACTTTCTTACTGGTGTAACAAATCCATTTTTACTAGTTTGAATGGTTTCTCCATATTTATCTTAATAATCATTTCCATCCTCTTGAATTTTACTCTGGAAAAAAACCAAAATCAGCTGTTTTTCCTGCTAAATAATAACAGGAAAAACCCCTCTGTGTGTGCAGAGGAGCCGCAAGGACATTGCCTGTGGTTGTCCATATATCAGCTGTGGCTTTTATTACCCCTTACCCTGAGCAAAGGGGAGCGGAGGAATTGCCCCCATCTCTGTTTACCCCTGTTTTATTGAGGTTTTCCATCCGTGGGCCCGAAAGGTTAATACAGCGCTTACCGCCGCCGTCACTTGGATTTATCGGAGAGCATGAAATAAAGCTTGCATGGCTGTAAATTTATTCTTAATAGAAACGTGGGGGGAAGAAGCTATTACCCTTGTCTGTATGGCCCCAGCTGCAGCAATTGGCTTTAAATCCCCGGCCCCAAGGTGAGCTGTGCAAGAGCCGGAGCTGTGCGTCCTCACGCCGTGCCTCAGTTTCCCCTCTGGCTGCTTTTGCAGCCTGTTCTGGGGCTGCAGGTGATGTGGGTGCTCCCGAATCCGGATCAGCTGAAAAACATCTCCTCGTGCAGCTCTGGCTGCTCTGAATTTTTGTCTCGTGCTCTTCCTGGCATCCTTTGGGAGGAGTTATTAAAGAACAAAGCTACATCTATTAATCATGCTTTTACAGTGGGGCCAGGCTGTAAAAAGCTCATAAAAATAAATAAGTAACCAGATGTTGACATGCAGAGTAATGGTGGGAGTGGAGAGGAGTTGTCCCACCACACATCTTCCCATGCTGGTTCTGGGTGAGCCTGGCTGTCCCTTCTTTGGGATGTGGGATGGGGACATCCCATCCCCTGTTGTGAAAAAACAGGGGTGGATGCTCCCCTCGAGGTCCTAGCCCTGGGGAGATGCGGAGGAAGATGATGCATCAGCATCAGCAGTATCATCTTCCCCCCATAGTCCCTTCTGCAGGGCTCTTCCCTCTCCCAGCTTCTTTGTCTGGGCTTGGGGTGTCCCAGTGGGAACCCAGATAACGCTCCCTGGAGCGGAGGCACCGAACTCTCCCAGGCTCTGCACATGGTGGAAACATATGCTGATCCCTCAGGTGATGCCACGTCCCTTGGGACCTAAACACTAAAAATAAATAAATAAATAAATAAGAGTAATTCAACATAATTTGGGTGAAAGGCTTTTCTGCTATGATTTGGGTTGAATTCAGAGTGTTTTGATCACCACCGCTTCCTCTTTGTTGGGTGTTTCGCCTGTGGCAGAAAGGATCCTGGCTCCAGGGTGACACTCGGCGTGGCACTGGGAAAAAGCCTTGGAACGAAACATCTCTGACCTGGATTAAAAATAAGGAGTCAAGGGGGTGTTTTTTTTTGCTGCCAGGATTGGAAAAAGCACCGGCGTGCCAGGGATGCTCGAGGGCTGGCAGTGCAAACACATCTCGGCGGGAGGACGAGCCGACGGGGAGGACACGAGGTGTTTGTCTCCAGGACCTGGTGCTGCTGCACTGACCCTTTTGGATGCTGAAAGCTTCGGCAAAACCTGGAAGCTGAAAAAAAAATGCCAAGGGTGGGTTTGGAGGTCCAGTTTCTTTCATTTGTGAGAGCAAATCCAGCTTTTTTGCCCCCCCCTCCTAGATCGGGGCTGTGGCTTTTGAAGTGTGAAACCAGAAGCGGGTACCTAAAGGAAAGCTGGAGACGTTTCCTGCATCATTTTAAGACAGTTGCAAGACTTGGAGGTCGCTAATATTTCCCCTGAACCCGGTATAAAGGATGGAAATTGGGAGTGGGGGGGGTTCCCCACCCCGACACCTCGGCACCGGTGTGGTTTTACTCTCTTCAAGCCCCTCTCCATCCCTCTTGGGCCACGTGCTGGCCGGGGGGGCTGACATCCCGGTAACACCCCCGCTCCCCTCAGACATCGGCGGGGACAAAGCAGATCACACCGGCTCTTCTTAAGCCAAACAGGGATAAAATGTCCCAGGGAGGGAGTTGTGCCCTCCCTGAGCCAGCCACCCCCCCCTCCAGTGTCCCCGCGTCCCCGTCCATCCCCCAGCCGCAACCTCAGGTGCACTGGCTCTCTCCTCCATATAGGCTCCCCTCTCTCGGTACATATATACATATAATATATATATGTTATTGTTATTATTTCTCCAAGACGGACGGTTTATTGATCTGAAGGTTCTATCCACAAAAAAAAAAAAAACAAACAAAAAAAAACAGTTTAAAATTCCCTGAGCCTCAAAAATGACGGGTAGGTAGTTGGGACATTTGTCTTCTTTGCCACCTTTTCATTGATTTTATTATTAGTATTGATTTATTTAAATATATATTTATATATAATTTTTTTTTTTTTTTTCTGTCCCTCCCCAGGAATCCCCCCTATCCACCCGCCCTCCCCCAAATCCGTGCGGCGGAGCCGGCGTCAGTTTTTATTTTTAATTTTCTGCTTGGCCGGGATATAAGGCAGCACCGTCTGGGTGCTTTTATCGGCTACGGTCTGCGTGCTGCTGTTCCTCGTCAGCCGCCGTGCCGGGGGGCCACCCCCCCCACCCCCCCCACCCCCCCCAGCACCGGTGGAAGGGTGCTTCGAGGGTGGCCCCGCCAGCACCTTACGGCCGGGCTCCTCGGGACCGTCATCCCCCCGGGACGCCGTGCTGTCACCGTCCCGGTCGTCATCGCAGCACAGAGCGTGGTAAAGCACCTTGTCGCTGAATCGGACCCGTTCCCGCGTGCCAGCCGGCCGGTGATGCGAGATCTTCTGGCCGGCCGTCGAGCCGAAGGCTTCCTCGCTGGATGAATCCGGGGTCCCCCCGCCCCGGGGACCGTTGGTGATGGGGATCCCCCCGTTCATCAGCCGGTAATCGGGCTGGCGAGCCGGTGGGGGCTGTGGCTGTGGCCGGGGGGGCTCGGGACCGTCACCCGGGTCGGAGGGGGTGGAAGCATCCAGGAAGGAGCAGAATTCCCAGCTGTCGGAGAGGATGTCGGAGGCGGCGAAATCGAGGGGTCCCAGCTCGAAGGTGCCTCCCCCCTTCTCGCTGCTGGAGGTACTGCTGGCCGTTGCCGTCGTCCAGTCGTCCGGCTCCAGCTCGAACTCGAAGTCGGACGTCAGTCGGTCGATCTGGCTCACCACCTGCGGGCAGACGGACGGACGGACGGGCAGAGAGGAGCCGCTAGACGGGACCCTCCTGGTTTTGCTCCGTGACAGCACCGCATCCCTAAATCTCTGCCACCTCCCCCAGGCTTCCCCCCGTGTGATGAGTTGGGAGGTCTCGGCCCGAGTGGAGCCGCTCCGGGAGCCCCTCGGCAGGGACCAAAGCCCACCCAATGACACAGCACCCATGGGTGCCAAGCAGGTGGTGAAGCCTTGGGTGCCCCTGGGTGCTTGGTGTGGCAGGATGGGCCCTTCCCAGGGCAGTCCTGGGGTCCCTCTTGTTCCCCAGTTCCACCCCAAATCCCCACACTCGTGGTGGCCTTTGGTCCCTTGCACTTGACCATGGGGAGACACCAGCTACAGCCACCTCCTCCCCCTGGAAAAGGCAGCTCTGCAGGTGGGGAAACTGAGGCAGGGTGTGGAAAATGTCCCAAGGTGGTGGGAAAAAATATTTGGGGGGGGGGGGGGGGGGGGGTTCAGGGACGGTGTTGTCACCCCCCACCCTAGCTGGGATCCTGATGGCCTCGGTCCCCAACCCTCCACCTTTTGTAAGGTGTTGAGTATATCAAGACCTATGGTGGCTTTGGGACGGGATCGTGGCCCCGCCATGCCACAGGGGACGGACCCCACATGGGGCATGAATAAAACAAACCCTTAAAAAATTAAAAATAGTAGATGTAGTGTCCTAGCTGAAGTTCAAGCCACCGGCAGGGCTGGAAGGAGAAGGTCCCATGGACCGTGGTCTCCATCTAATGATCTTCAGATGCAAGAGGGTCATCACCCACCTTCAAGTCTTTAATCCTATCCAGCTCAAGGGCTGCCCAGCACCAAGCACAGCACTAATCCTGCCCGGGGCTCCCCAATCCCACCCGAGAACCTGCTGTCGTGGCATCCAGATGGAGCCATCGTTGTGTCGCCGGAGGATTGTGGTGTTTCTTGGCTGGTGTTTCTGCATGTGTATGTGTGTGCGGGGGGGTGTGTGGTTTTATTTTGTGTGGGAGGCAGAGCACGACGTGAAAATTCAACTTAGCAGCAGTTGGAAGTGCGTATTTTTGGCAGGGTTGCTGGCTCGCCTCCCCCCCACTCTCCGGGGGGAACTGGCAGAGGGCCTGGCCGGTCCCAGCGCCGCCAAGCAGGAGGTGGGCAGCGGCAGACAAGGGGCGGGGGGGAGGGAAGGAGGTAAGGGGGAACCCCTCGATACCCTCCATACCTGTTTGTGCACCCAGTTGATGCCTTTTGTGCTCCCCCCCCTCCCCAGTATGGGCATCCGCGGGCATCGGTGACACCCGGCACCCCAGGGCTGTGCCCATCATGCTGCTCGTGGTCCCCCCATCCCACACACGGAGCATTTGGGAGTGAAAAAACCCCTTTGCTTGTCTTTTCCCAGGTGGTTTCTCCATGCATAAATGTGTTTTATCTTTTTTTTTTTTTTTTTTTCCTGGTTATTTTTCGTTATTGCCTTTCTCTCACCATCTTTTTCCCTCAGCTGCCCTTCTGCCTGTCCTTTCCTGGTGGAAATCAGCCACAGATTTACGAAAATAAGGGAGGGAAGACAAATCAATGGGCAATATCTTGCCAGACACATTTCATTTCCTTCTCCTCATGACACTGAGAAGCTCATCCATATCTCCATCAGGCCCATGGTTCATCAGTGGGTGTTGGACCTCCTCATCCACCAAGAATAATTAATCATGTCACATCTCTATGTCATTTTTATATTGCTGTGATCCTACAATTCCATTTTTGAGCACTTTTGCTGGCAGAAACTGAGTCCTTGGGCGCTCAGACATGCTATCCCATCCTTATGTTGGGTGGCCAAGGGTGGGCGCCCCAAAGCTGTTGTCACAGTGCCAGGTTGCCCTTGGTCTCTGCATCCCTTTGCTAGATGCTGGCGCGCAGAGGTTTGGGTCAACAGCATAAACCGCTAGAAATGCACCATAAACCATGGCTCAGCAGGGCAGGCTCCTCACAAAGCCCTCGCGGTGGATGAGGATGCATGGGCAGAGTTAAGGGTAATTTAATACGTCTGCGCATCTGAACCCAAGGAGCCCGGGGGGACGAATATGCTGCCAGCAGCCGAAGTGGCTCCGTTACATTCTGCTGACCTAATTTTAATAAAATTCCCATATTCAAGCTCCAAATTTCACTTGTTTGACAGCCCTGCCTGTGCAGTTCTCCTGCTCTGGCAAGCTCCTGAGGAAATGGTATCAAGGACGGAGGACTTCAGGCTCACAGTTGCTTGTTGGGGGGGATCCAGCCGTGGGCACGCAGCACCCCTTCTTTTCAATCAGCTGCAAGTCCCTGTGGGACATCTCCAGGCTCTGGCTGAAGCCAGGACCATTTCTTGGGTGACCAAACACTGTGTGACAACCTGGGGACAACCCGGATGAGCATGGGAAGACAAAACAGTGTCACCTCCATGGGGGCACAGCCCCGAGGGGCAATGGTATGGTTTGGGTGAGGGGGATGGGGCTGGATGTGCGCGTTTGCTGCCTGCTACAAACACAGAGCAGAGCAACTGGGGAGCCCTGGGACAGGGGAAACCCTTTCTGAGGTGGGACTGGCTGGTGTCACCAGGTTGAAGGGCTGGGGGTTGCTGCCTGGGAGCCTGTTGGACAAGCAGGCAATAAAATATGCCAAAAAAAAAAACATCTTTGCAAGGAAAAAGAGATGGGTTGAAAACGAGAAGAGTGCTCCCACTGTCAGACCTGAGCGCACGGGGATGGGCACTAATACATCTTGATGGTCCTGATCAGCCCCGGGGACCCCCACCCCACCCTGCCCACAGCCCAGGAGCCCCTGGAAGCTCAGCCCTGGGTGGAAAGTCCTCTCCTGAGCTGTGCTGCTTGAGGACCTGGCCCCAGCCCCATGGGTGGTTCTTCTCCTGGATGGACCTCTCGAAGCCCAGCCCTGGTCCTGCTCGTGGGATGGACCTTGGATTGGATCCTGTCCTCGTCTCCTGGAGGGACCTTGGGTCCCCAAAGCGGGGCAGCGCGGCGAATAGTGAGCTGAGCGCTTCTCATCCCAGGCAGCAGAAGGCAAGGGGCTTTACCTAAGCTCCTCACCCGTGATCTCCGAGTTATTTTTCCTGCCTCCCTGCCCACACAAGACCTCCAGGGAGAGTGGGCAGGAACCCATCTGGCCTTCAGGCTTTGGCTTTGAAGGGTGCTGAGGGCAAGCTGGGAGAATCCGCACCAACATCCGCAAGCAAATCTTGAAATTAGAAAAGGCAATTGCTTCTGTTCCCAATGCACCATCAGATTTCTTTCTTTTTTTTTTTTTTTTTTTTTTCCCCCTCTTTTCTTTGGGGGAGAAAGGGTGAAACTCAAGAAAAGAGGGGAGAAAAAAAAAATTATGTGACCTCTTCTTTCTCAGTGACAAGAAAGAATTAGGAAAAAGGGCAGGAAAAGAGCTGTCTTTGGGAAACACCCGGCTATTATTATTTTTTAATAAGGCAGCAAACGTTTCTGCTGAAACCCTCAGCTAAAATGAGATCACCTCTGTTTTCACAAAGGCTCAGTGATTACAACACTGGGTTCAGGGTGAGCATCTCTCTGGGCTTTGAGTTGGGTCCCTGTCACCCAGCGTCCCTGCTCCTCCTCATCCTCATTAATGGGACCTGCTGGGATTCGGGCTCCGTCGGTGCCAGGAGGCGGCACATCCCCATCCCGGTCCTTGTCCCCATCCCGGTCCTCGTTGCGGCACACAGGGATTAGTGTCACATCAGCAGTGGCTCACTCAGGGATATTTTTAGGACCGCTTTCTATTTTAAACGGGTGGTGGTGGCGCGGGGAGTGGGGGGATGTTAAATACCTATGTGACTCTTGGTAACCGCTGAGGATTTAAATGTAAAGTAGGATTTGGGGTTTTCTCCCCCCTTTTCTTCTTCCTGAGGCAAGTTGTCAAACCTTTTTTAACTGAGGCCACCGCTGCTGGCAGAGGGAGGTGGGATGAGAGCGGTGGAGGGGAGGGATGAATGGACCAGATCCCGTCCCACTGCCTGGGATCGGGTGGTTTGGGGTGAAACCCCGGTGATGCTCTCATCCCCTGGGAACTCGGGGGGGGGTGTCTCTCTCCCTATGAGGGTTGGGGTGTCCCCAGCATGTGCTGGAGGTGCCATGGGGATGATGGAGAGAGGACGTATCCCCACCCTCCCTCACCTTTAGGTTTCATGTTGTTGCGAAGAGCCAGCTTTTTGGTGTCAGCAGAGCATCCCTGGCCAAACCAGGGGGTACATGGCAGCAGGAAAATAGGGAGCAAAAATAATTCTCCTTGACCTCGTGCTTGGTGTCCCCCAAGGGGCCTTATCCTGCTGCACTCGAGTGCCCTGAAGGCAGGCGCTGGGTGACCAGGGGTGCTCAGCTCTTGCCTAAAGGGACGAGCTTTGAGCAGCTGGAGGAAAACCAGCTCCCACTATTCAGCCCAGCTGGGAGTGCTGGGTGCTCCCCTTGACCCACGGACAGTCCCCGCACCCGTGGGCATTGCTGGCTGCCAGAATCTTTTCAGATACAAACCTGGGTGCCCCAAATTGGGTGTTTACCTCCCCAGCTAAGGCAGATGTTGAACATCTGGAGCGTCGTTGGTTTTTAATGGGATTTTTTGGTTGTTTGCTGCATATCAAGTGCGGAGGTCCCCGGCTGCGGGTTGGGCTTGGTGGCTCCAGCTTCCACATTTTGACCATGCCGTTTCCTACCGAGGAGCTAAACCTCCTGGAAGCTCGAGAAGATGCCGGAGAGGCGAAGGGCGAGGCGGGAGGATGAGAGGGGACTTCAAAGGCTTCACGGCTGGTAATTGGTCATGCATATTCTCGAGGCCGGGGAAGGAGCTGGGAGATGCTGGGATCAAAGTGGTGCGATCTAACAGCGCCTTCATCCCGGCGCGGCCTTTGAAGCGGGCGGGCGAAGCGGATGGGTGCTCGGGGCGGGTGCCGCTGGGGGAAGGCGGGGTGCGGGGTGGGGACATCAAAGCGGGGTGTCCTTGCTCCCATGATGTGCCTGTGTCTCGCTCGGCTGCCCTCCGGCGAGATGCAACTGTTTTCCCGACCCAGATGCAAAGCATCCCGTCCCCAGCCAGGCTGAGAGAGGAGCAGGGGTTTTTGCGCATCACCCTCCTGGCCCCCTGCTCCCTCAGCTGCTGGCTTGGTCCCCGTCCCCAGCACCCCCGCTGCGCACCTGTAGCAACACATTTTAGGGTCCAAAGCGGTTTCCCATGCTACGCAGCTGCTTTCCCAAGCTGGATCTGACCTGCCTGGCCCTGCACTGGGCTTTTCTGCCTGCTGATGCACGGAGGGGATGGGTGATGGGATCGCACGGGCCACGCAAAAAATCCCCGACCCCCTTCCCAACGCATCAAATCACGCCGGAGGCATTTGACACCATCGCCTTGAACATCAATTCCTCCCTCCACGGGGGGAAAAGAGGCACCTGAAAGCCCCATGACCCCGCAGCCAAACCCGGAGAGGGGATCTTCCTGCATCTCCCAAACCACATCCCGAAGCAGGCAAGGTGAGTAAATATTTAATAAGGAATAAATGATTAATTGGAGCTCACAAACTGAAGCTGGGTTACAGGGGCCTCTCCACCCCGAGCTGATGCTTATAAATGAGTGTGCCGTGGATCTCAGGATCATTTGCTAGATCATCAGCCGCTAAATAGCTCAAAATCATCGTGCAGATCTCTAAAACATGTTATTATTAGAATAATAAGCCGCCTTCTCGCCGTGAACTTTCCCAAGCGTTCCCAGCTAATCACCTATTGATTACAACATTATTAAGGTATTTATTATCATAAGGGGGTTGCAGGGAGGATTTTCCTCCTGTCAAGGGCTTGGAGGGGACCCCTCGATGCCACTTCCCTTTGTGGTGGGACCCCACTGCTCCCATGTCAGGGGGTGCAGGGGTGATAGGACCCTTTCTGTAGGATTTTGGGGAGTTTGCACATAAGGGAGACTTGCACAGATATTTGGTTTGATTTCCCGCCTCTGAATATACCCCATGGATGCTTTCCAACCCCCAGCCCCAATCCCCCAAGTTTGGGAAGGAGCTCAGCCTCGCAGTGGTGATGGCTGGGATCTCCTGGGGTATCTTCTTCTCCGTGGCATCACCCTCATGCCCGTGGGAAAAGGCCAGGGCTGGCAGGAGGCGCGTGGGAGGGCAGGCAGCGTGGCAAGTGCTCGGCGGAAGCACCTTCCCTGCCTGCCTCCTGCCTGATTTCTACTTCCAGTGCGCGATTTCAATCAAAGATTTTAATAATCATTTTCCCCGCACATAATACAGCCCTGTCTTGGAGTGCTGGGGAATAATTATATACACAAAAGGGAAAGAGGGAAGGAGGGAGAGTGGGAGCGGAGAAACTGGTAAAACAGCATCCTGAATCAAACGGACATCTGGAACGACAGCCTTCAGGTGGGAACCGCTCCTGGGAGCCGGGGATGGAGCCTGAGCTGGGGTCTGGCCCCGTGTTGCATCCCCAGGGATGGGCCAGCAGAGCCCTAGGGTCTCCCACCGAAGCCCCCCCCCCCCGAGCTTCCCGCAATCCCGGCTGAGTCCGAGACTCAAAATCTCTGTTGAAGCAGGGACAACCTGGGAGAAAAGCTTTATGTGAGCCAGAGCTGGCTGCACCTGGAGCTGGTGAGCGGTTATGGAGTGGGAACCATCCCTGGGGGAAAGCCCTTGTGCCCACACAGAGGTCTTGATGGCTTTGGGGGGGTCATATTTATCAAGGTGGTTATGACCTGGCTGCTTCTTCCAGACCTGTAAAGTCCTGGTACCCGGCTTCCCTTGCAAGGAGAAGCTGGAAGGAGCCAGTCCAGCATCACCCAGTGCCCTCCAGCATCACCCAGCGAAGGTTTTCCAGCTCCTTGGGTGATCCTGGTGCGGCAGGATCGGGCCCACCACTGCCCTCACCGGGCCCACCCAGCCCCAACCCCCCAGCAAAGCCCCGAGCAGGGGAGATGGCCGCAGCGATGGGCATTTCCAGAGCCCCCACGGTGGCTCCGTTGGAGAATACACCAACATCACTAGTGCCGGGGCCCTGCGGGCACTGAAGGGCTCTGATGACCCTGAGCAGCCCCTCTGGGACAACCCCCCCCCCCACCCCTCTATGAGCCCACTTAGGTTTGGGGACATCAGTCCCTGCCTGGGGCAGCAGGGCTGCCTGTCCCCAGCCTTGTCCCCATGTCCTCACCTCCAGCTGAGGAAGAGCATCACTACGGGCAAGGTAGACAACCACAACGGCTTATTTTTTTTTACTTCTCTTTCACCAATATTCTAGAGCTTACTATTTGCCAGCCTGGTGTCTATCACATACTTTTTTGGGTGGGCTTGAAAGAGATTTCCACATAACATGTTCCCATCGTACTTGCTCTGAGCGATCCAGAAGACAAGGGGTTGAATTTCCAAAGCTTCTAATGCCCAACATCTGCTTGGTTTGGGGAAAATCAGACCTCTGTTTCTTTGGAGTCACTGGAGCCCAGTTTAGCCTGGTTGGACCAGTGCATTTTAGCTCTGGAGACTGTTCTTGTACCGAGGTTTATGCCGTTTTGTGTAAATTCAGCTAATTGCTGCCAAGTTATATGGGTGTGTTGTAGGAGTTGCTGAGGAGGGTTGAAGTTTAGGACCCACCTCGTGATGGGGAGCTCACGGCTGGCTCTACGCTGACCTGGCCACGCTGTCCCATGGTGTGAGGGGCTCCTCCAGGGCAGCAATGGGACGTGGCCTGGGAGGTCACCTGTGCCTAGGGGTGTGCCAGCACCGTGAAAAAATCATCTCCAGGCTTCAGCGTTTCTCAGCACTCTGGAGAAACCATCCCATGGGGCATGGACCCCCTCCCTGGCACAAGAGCAGGGTCTCCTTGGGTTGGGGGGCAGAGGATGGGTGTCCTCTGGCCACCTTCTGCTCCTCAAAGCACAGGGATCTGCTGCGCCCTGCTCAGCTCTTCCACCCTCCATTATTCCTCCTCCTTTGAGCCTGCTTCCCAAAACATGTCCCCAGGGAACACTGAGAGCCCTTTACCCCTCCCCTGTGTCCTCAGGCCACCTTCTCCTCTTCTCTGCTCCGAGACACGCTGGTACAACCTGACTTGGGAAGCCTACCAAGGATGCTGCAGGGCTGCTAAAGGTCCTTCTGGCCCCAAAAGCTGGATGGGGGACCTTGTGGAGCCACCTGAAGCTTGGTGGGAAGCACAACCCAGCCTCAGCTGTGAAATGGTCAGAGATTTGTCCCATCCCGCTCCTCCTTATCTCTCCGCATCCTCGGCAGAAGGGATGCTCGTGTGATCGTGGTGGTCCCACCTGCCCTTAAACCCGTGGGCTCAATAAAAGGGGCCAGCTGTCATCATCATTTTAAAGGCCTCTCCTGGAGGAGCACGAAGTAAGCTCGGGCTAAATGGAAAATAGCTTTCCCTCCGATTATCACGGCTACTTTTAATCCATCAGAGATTTGTCAAAGGGGTTTGGGGCTCCCCCGTTGGCATTGTGGGACTCAGGGTGGGGTTTTCCTTTGGGTGGCTGGGTTTGCTTTCAGCCGTGGAAAGGACTGGCAAAGCCATAAGAGAAAGGAAAATCTTTAGGGCTGCCACGGCCGGGTCGAGCCCTCGCAGGGACCCAGTGGGGCGGCACGGGGGGATGTGGCGTCCCCTCGGCGCTGGCTTTCCCAGCGGGATGGCCTCCTTAAAATCTCACAGACCGAGCGGAGCCATCCGAAAGGAGAACACTGCATCCCAGGGGATGCTTCAGGCTGGGAGATGTCACCTCCCTGACCACGGTCGCATCTGCCCTGAGGATGACGTTGGCCCACCTGCATCAGCTCTCTCTCGGTGCCACCCAAATGTCACCGACCCGCGCGGGGCTGCTCCATGGTGGCCCCATGGCAAAACCTCCACCAATTTCTGCCTTTCCTGGGGGGGAGTCGAGGTTTCACACAGCTCTGGATATAACCCCACGCTCAGCTCAGGCCACGGAGAGGATGCAAACACCCGCCTGCCCTATTGCAAAAGCAAGCTGTCACCGTGCTCAAGGCTACAGCAATCTTTCCATCCACCACTTTGCCCATCACCTGCCAAGATGTCTTAAATTACCAGCCCCATCCAGGTCCCCTTCCCCTCCACCTTGGAGTTGTGTAGCCCAAACACTTGAGCCATGGAAATATTAAATTCCCCACCAAAACCAACTCTGCTGTGCCTCCGCACTGGGAGGAAACTCCAACCAGACTTTATATGTGTGTGTATATACATATATATATATATATATATATATATATATTTTTTTTTTTTTTTCAGGAACAATGAACCCTGACAGCCAGGCTACAGAACAGCCAGTCGCTTTGGCCCCCTGTCCACCCCACGGATCCCCCTCCCTCATCACACCCAGGGCTGGATGATGGACCCACCATCCCCTCTCCATTCACCTCCCTGCTTTGAAAGGGCCCTGGAAAACACCCCCCAAGTCCGCCCCACAAGGCAGAGCAGAGCTAACTGTGGCACGGTGCCGACGGCCGGGCCCCCTGACCCCAACCAAACCCCGGTGTCAAGGTCAAGAACAATTTTGCAAACCCTGCCTATTTTATTTTTTCCCCCCTCTTTTGGAAAATCCTATTGCACACCAGCCGGGCTGTGCCACCCCGGGTCCCACCTGGGGCTGATGGGCTGTGGGTGCTGAGCTGGCTCCGCTCCCCCCAGCCCAGCCCCGGGGGCAGGGGGACGGGGACAGTGCACCCCAATTTGCAGCTACCACGACCCGCGCAGGGATGCGGTGGCACCCCAAGGCTTTCCTACCTCCCGGAGCTCCTTGGCCACCTCCTTGAGCTCCTGTAAGATGCCTTCCAGTTGCCCGATCACCATTTTCATCCGACTCCGGATCCTTTCCCTTTCACAATTACTCTTGCTGCTGCTACAATTGCTGCTGCTGCTGCTGGGGTGGTCACTGGGCTTCCTGTCCTGGCAGGTCCGGGAGTCCATCCTTCCCTACCGGCCTCGGTTCCCGGCCCCAACGGCTCTGTCCATCCTGCTCCCCCCTAGCCGGGTGGCCTGGCGTCCGCGCAGCCCCTCTCGGCCGGGGAGCTTTCAACATCTTAACGTTCCCCTGCCTCCAGGAAAGTCCCGGCCGCACGCTCGCCTCCCTGCGAGGTCGGGGGGCTCCGGTTCGGAGCGGGGAGCAGGGTCGGGATGCACCATGCGGAGGCGAGAACGCAGCAGAGGGGGCTCAGCCGGTGGCCGTGGGGAGATGTGGGGTGGCCATGGGGCGAGCAGGGAAGGCGAGCGCTGCCTGCTCGGGCAGGGTTTCACCTGCCTGCTGCGGCAGAGCTGGAGGAGGAGGAGGAGGAAGAGGAAGAGTCCCTCGGATGTCCCAGGAAGCTAAAATCCAGCGGCTCACGCCTTTCCTGCTCCCCGCTGCTGGGGAGGGAGGTGCAGGGCTGGCTGTCCCCGGGGAGCGATGCTGCTCCCCGTGTCGGGCCCTCGCTCCGGGGTCGCCAGCTCCAACACTGGGGGGTGGTGGTGGGGGGTGTCCCAGCCGGGCGCAGGCGTCCTGGGAAGCCCAGGGTCCCCTCCTGCAAGGACAGACAGACAGACAACGTGAGGGAGCCATCCCTTCTGGAGCCAGAAAGCCGGGGAGGGAGGGGGGCTTTGCCTGCTCATGCCTTGTCTTGATCTCAGTCCCGGCATGAGGACAAGCCCCGGGTACCCCCTAATTGAGGTGGGGGGAGAAGAATGGAGCCTGGCACTGTCCCTAGCACCCCCCATTTTGGTCTCTCCCCCCCCCCGCCCTCCACTTTGAGACCTGGAAGCTGGGCACAGAGGGTTCACGCTGAGCGAGATAGATGGATAAGAGAGACAGACAGACAGACGTGCAGCTCAGGAACTTACCGTTGTGATCCAGACCCCCCTCGGCTCCAGTCCAAGCTCTTCCTTGTCCTTTCTTCTTTTTCCTTCTCCTTTTCTTACTTCCTCCCCCTCCTCCTCCTCCTCCTCCTCTTCCTCCTCCCTTAGGTCTTTTGCGTGGCACAAGAGGAGTCCGGGGGCCACTTTCCTTTGGTCGCTGTTGGAAGGGATGAGATGTTACCAGATGTGACAGCCCGCTGGGGAGGAGGACACACACGTCCCCCGGGACCCCTCTGCTTTGGGGGGGGGGGGGAGTCAGGCAGCCTCCTCCCCCCGCGGGGGCCATCCCACCGCCATTCCCCTCCCGGGTTCAAGCCCCAACCCCGCTTCGGCCGAGAAAAGGGGAAAACCCACCTTGTCCCCAAATGCTCCCCCCTGCCGCAGGAAGGGGGGAAACAGCACGGGTGGAGGCGGAGTGTGTGTGTGGGGGGGCGCATCCCCCCCAGCTCGGGGGTGCACACAGGGAGGGCGGAGGGGGGGTCCCGGCATGCTCGCATCTCCATCCCCGGTACCCGCATCCTCCATCCCCGGTACCCGCATCCTCCATCCCCGCTGCTTGCATCCTTCATCCCTGGTACCCACATCCTCCATCCTTGGCACCCGCATCCTCCATCCCCGCTGCTTGCATCCTTCATCCCTGGTACTCGCATCCTCCGGGGCACCGGGGATGGAGGATGTTGGTACCCGCATCCTCCATCCCCGTTGCCCGCATCCTCCACCCCCACCTTCCCCCCTCCTTCCCCAGTGCCCCCGCCGCCCGCACCCCCGCACCCTCCCCCGGTGCCCCCGGGACCGACCGGCGGCGGCGATGCCGGTTCAGGGCCGGCCGGCCCCTGGGCGCCGGGCGGGCGGAGCGGGGCGGGGAGCGCCCGGCGCCCCGGGCAGAGCCATGGGGCGGGCGGAGAGGCGGTGGGCGCCCGGCCCCCGGCCCCGGCCGCAGCCTCCCCGCTCCCCGCGGCTCCCCGGTTCGGCGAGCCCCGGCGGCTGCTGTGTCAGAGAAAGGGGCCGAGCCTCCGCCGGGCGGGGGGGGCTTAAAGGGACCGGGAGTCCCTTTGCACGGTGCGGAGCGGGGAGGGGGGGGGGGGGGGGGCAGCGCCCAGGGAAACTGAGGCAGCGCTGGGGGGGATCCCTTGGTTGGGGAGGGGGGCTGTGCCTCAGTTTCCCCATTCTCCCCGCTCCCCCCCCCCTCCCCTTCGAATAATAGGCTTATTAAGACTGGTCACTTCTGAGTTCAAAATGTCCGTCCCTGCCCCGTGGGTCATATTTGCGGCCAATTTCTCAAAAAATCTGTAAAAATCCACCAGCGCACCCGGGATGCAGGAGCATCATTCTAGGAAAGGTCCCTGCTGCAGGACTTGTCTGGGCAGGAGGAAAATAATAACCAGCAGCCTGTGTGTGAGCGGGGGGTGGTCTGGGGGGGACCCCAACGAGGGGAGGGAATCAGCCCGAAGCAGGGAGCCAGCCTGGGAAAATCCATCCAGTTTAGCAGCAATGGGAGCAAGGAGAGATTCTTGTCCTACAGATGAACGGTGACGATAGGTGGCAATCCCAGGTCTGCAAGAGGCGAGGCGGCGTGTGCGCATACGTGTTATTTATTGCCTCCTACCGGGTATGTTCAAAAGTGCTGAACACACTTTTTGGCGTGGACCCGAACTGACTCATCCTTTAGCACACAGCTCGTCGCGAGATGATGCTCTGGGGGCTCTTCTGATTCCCGCAGAACACACAGGTCAGGGTCCAGGGTGGATCCCTGGGATGGCAGAAGTGCTGGGCTGCGTGGCAGATGTTGGTGTGCAACCCCTCGGTGCACAGCCTTACTATGATGATGATATTTTCCAGGGGGGAATTTTTCAGCAGGAACCTCCTCCATGCAATAATTTGCACCTGAAGCCCAGTCAGGGACAACGCAGCCACCTGGGTCCCCGACAACCATGACACTCTCTCCTGCGCTCCCAGGCTCTGATTTCCTCTAATAACAGGTTAATGCCAGCTCATGCTCTGCCTCTGCCGTTAACCAGGCAGAGCCAAAAATCAGCGGGGATATTAGGACTAATTTGGGGAAAGAGCGGAGGTGGTAAAACTAGGATGGAGATGCTGCTCCTGAGAAACACACCTCGGACTGGCGATGTGGGACCAGGTGAGGTCTCACCTCTGAATGTGCACAGCAGATCAAGCAAAAGTGATGAAAGATATCGGGTGATTTTGGCCTGAGGAGGATCTGAATAAACTACAGTGGAGGATAAAGCGAGCAGTTGAGACATGGGCTGGGGAGGAAACACCACTCCATCCGTGACTTGCTCTTCCCCTCTCCCGTAGGCATCTGCTCATCGCCTCTGCGATGGGTATCAGCAGCCTCAGGAGTTTCACTCTGGGCCAGGTTGATAGATGCTTGAAAGCAGCCAGTGCTGGAGAGTGGGACCCTGAGTGCCATTGCTGCCCCCAAATTTGCCTTGGAAAGTCTTGGAAAACATAAGACAGCAGAAATGTCCCTGCAGGGATGTCCAAAGTCTCCAGAGTGAGGTCCAAGGCCAGAGCTGTGTTTCTTAACACCCTCTGAAACCCTCGGGATGGTGTGTTGAGGATGTGAAACGAGGGGGAGCCAATGAGCTCTACCCCTGGAAAGGGGATGGAAAGGCTCAACCTTTTTGAGACACCCGAGAAGCCAAACCCGCAGCATGCCCCACCTTTCGCTCCTGCTCTCCTTTGCTCCACAGCCCTGGATGGGCATCCTCAGCTGGTCTCATGCTGAGGGGGACCCCTGGCCCCGAGCACCCCCAGTGCCAGGGCCAAAGCGGCGGCTGTGGAGAGGGACATCCGTCCACCCTGCCTCGCTTTGCCTGGGAAAGCCACCGTGTTCCCAGCTGCTGGTGGATTCATCATTTGTGGAGGAAGCATAGGAAAAGGGTGGTTTGGATTAAAAAAAAAAAAAAAAAATTATTTTCTGCTTTTATTTGCTGCTTTGCAAAGCCTGAATTCCTCCGCATGAAGAACTTGTTGCAGGAGCTTCCCCGAGGCTGCTGTGTCACAGCCCAGATTCAGGGGGTCATGGACCACCCCGCTCTCAGCATCTCCTGTCCCTTGTGACTGATCCGTGTGCCCCATTGCCCTGCCAGATCCTCTCTTATCCCACCCCACCTTCCTTGGGGGCTCCCAGAGGAGTTGGGGGGGGATCCCCAGATGCTGCCCGGCTTTGGTACCCCACTGATGGGAGGATTGGTGTTTCCCTGTGGGAGGGACACGGCTGGAGCACGACGGAGAGAGAAGAGCAGTTTTATTTCCACCTCCCTAATCTCTCTCCCTCCCTCATTCTGCAATCTTTATTTATGCTTTTCGTTAGATCTGATTTACTGGGGATTTTCCCATTCCAGCAGGAAAACTGCTGGGAGGGGATTTCTCTGCAAAGCTTTTGGGCTCACAGGCATTTTATTTTCCAGGGTCGTGCCAGACTGGTTCCCGCAGGGTGGGTCTCAGCTTGGCAAGGCTTGGCAGGGTACTCCTACTGCAGGGGGTCCTCTCTGTCCCCCCGAAAACTCCCATCGTCGCCCCGAGATGGAGCTGGTCCCCATTGTCATGCTGCTGGCAGGTGCCCTTCGCTGCCGAGCTCGCTGATGTATCGCTTCCCCGCCGTGACTCACTGGCACAGATCTAATTTCTAATTAAATAGCGATTCTTTTCAGAGCCATTTATTTCTGTTTCTTTTGTATTTTGATTGGAGTGTCAGTCAGTTTTTCACTAGTTTGTCAATTCCTCTTTCCCTAAAGATTAGCTAGGAGAGATGTGAGAATACAGAAATACATGTTAGCAGCGCTGAGCCTGGGAGCGCCTTGGGTCCCAGCTGCCCGGGGAAAACCTGCAGAGAATATGGTAAGAAACTGAGAAGGAGAACGAAAATAATCCCTGAAGAAGCCTGTTTAGAGCAAGGTTTCAAAAATCTGTTTTTTCCCCATCGCCATCGCTCTTCCCTGGCCTTCAGACCCTCAAGTCCCTTCCTGCTGCGTTCCTGCGGCAGCAGACGGTGCCTTCTCCTGGGAGAAATCCCATGGGATACTCATGGTGAGACAGCTTTCTCCTGGACTGCCTTTATCCTCGGACCATTTGAAACATGGGACGTGGAAATTCATCTCTGAGATGCTCCACAACATGGTCCTTGATGCTCAGCACATGGTCTGGGGGAGAAGGGGCCTCCCCTGCCTGCTGGGGTCTTGGCTCCCCTGGGCAAGGGCTGGAGTGAAATCAAAATTCTCACACCAGGTGATAATCAGGGATTTTTTTTGTGTGTGAGATGGCCCGTGATGGGCTCTTTTTGAGCCACTGCTCACCAGGAGAGCCCAGCAGCTCCAGCACTGTCTGCTCTGCCTGGTCTTGGTGTTGGGGTCGGCACCCTCAGCACCACGCTCCAGCTCAAAGCCACATCACTGAGGGTCCAAATCCCCAAATGCCCAGTTGTCCGCTCATCCCAGCAAGCAAAGGATCCTGGAATTTCAAATCACAGCCTGCTGTGGTGAGGATGAGGAGTAGAAAGTGCCGCTGGTGTTGAGCAGCAATGGTTTTGCTCAGCCAATGTGCTCACTCACGTCGACTCGTTGCTTTTAAGTGTGAAGAAAGAAAAAAAAAGCCTGTTAAAATGGAGTGGCAACATGGGTGTGACCTGTAAAACAGCCCACTTTGTTGGGAATGGGATATGGGAAAATTCACAACTGCTTTCCAAAGATCCTTTCAAAATGGGAAACTGCTCCTACCCTGAGAAAAAGGTTATATTTTACTGAATTGGTGTATGTTCATGGAAAATGTGTATTCCACCATGTAGAGCTGTTGGCCTGTGTTATACTGACTTGTCCGACTCCTGGAGCAAATCACCATCTCAGCCCAAATAAACCCAAAGGCACCCAACCTCCTTTCCTGAGGGCTTTTAGCCCGGATACATCCGACCTGGGCAGGGCGGGACCATCTCTATAAAAGGATTTAAGGAGCCACAACACCCATCTAAAGGGGCTCAGAGCAAGGGAGTTTATTCTGGTGCTGAGGTTTTTAGCAAGGGGAGGTTGTCCCCATGCAAGCTGTGGGGGGAGCTGGCACTGGTGAGCAGTGAGTAATCCCAAAGTGGGGTTCTTCTTCCTGGGATTTTGTCCCTTGGGGGTTTCTCTCCTGATTTCCTAACTCTTTAAAGGCCATGAGGTCTGGGCAGCTTGGAGCTGCTTTTAATGAAGGTTTTCTATGTTAACAGTGTCCCTGTTGCTGCAGGGCTGGGATGGGGATGGATAGGGGATCCTCTCTATCACCAGGTCAGCTAAAAGCCCTGTGGAAATGCTGCCCTTCTCCTTAATATTAAAAAAATTTGATCTCAGATAAAGACAGAGCATGCCCATCACTTCAACCCTGGTCTGGGATGTATCCCTTATCTGGGTGGATGGAGCTGGGAGCATCCCTGCTTTCACAGCCCGTGGGTCTGGGTGTCTCTGCTCAGGGAGCTGTAGCCAATCCCCCATAGCAGGGGAAATCAATGTGGCTTCATGCCCTTATTAATTTCTCATTGGGAAAGCGTGCAGGGCTTGCATTGAAGTATGAAATGAAGTAGGCAGGGAGTAGGGAGAGCAAATATTAGCACTCTTAATGGCCTTTTGTTTTACTAGCAAAACCACTATTAATCACCCCAGTGAGGGGAGCTGAGTCTGCTCAGGGATAGCTTATCTGTGCAAACAGTGCTGGAAACTAGCAGAGGGGAGACCTCTGAGCATCTGTGCTGGTGCTTGAGTGGGGAGTGAGCACGGTGTCTGGCGGAGCCGCCTTAAAAATGCCCATTTTTGGCTTTGCTGTAGAGGTAGAAGTGTCTGCTGGGGGGCAAGAGGCTCCAGTGGAAAGCACGGGGCTCAAAACCACTGGGTGCTGCTTTCTGCTGAGCTGGCAGGTGGCATCAATCCCCC